CCCCCCCTCGTAGGACCTGGCCGAGAAGCACCAGAAGACCCTGCAGCTGCTGCGCAAGCAGCAAACCACCATCCTGGACGACGAGCTGATCCAGTGGAAGCGTCGGCAGCAGCTGGCGGGGAACGGGGGACCCCCCGAGGGTACCCTGGACGTGCTGCAGACCTGGTGGGTCCTGGAGCTGGGGGTTGGAGATGTGGGGGGGGTGAGCCCTGGCGTGGTGCTGAGCCCCGTTTCCCCTCCAGGTGTGAGAAGCTGGCAGAGATCATCTGGCAGAACAGGCAGCAGATCCGGCGGGCAGAGCACTTGTGCCAGCAGCTGCCCATCCCGGGCCCGGTGGAGGAGATGCTGTCGGAGCTGAATGGCACCATCACCGACATCATCTCCGCCCTGGTCACCAGGTAGAGGTGGCACCCAACAAGTGTTCAGGGGGCCCCCGATTGGGGCTACTCTCCCCACCTGCCTCTGATCGCCTTTTTTCCCCCCAGCACCTTCATCATCGAGAAGCAGCCCCCCCAAGTGCTGAAGACACAGACCAAGTTCGCGGCCACCGTGCGGCTCCTGGTGGGAGGGAAGCTGAACGTTCACATGAACCCCCCCCAGGTGAAGGCCACCATCATCAGCGAGCAGCAAGCCAAGGCTCTGCTGAAGAACGAGAGCACCCGCAAGTAATGCCCTGGGGGCTGCTGGGGGGGGCTGTGGGGAGCAGGAGCTGGGGGCGCCAGGGGGCTACTCCTCATGGGGGCTCCTAGCCCTCAGTGGTCCCCTGACCCTCTGCCTTCCTGTGGCAGCGAGAGCAGCGGGGAGATCCTCAACAACTGCTGCGTGATGGAGTACCACCAGGCCACCGGCACGCTCAGCGCCCATTTCCGCAACATGGTAAGTGCCACCAGCTCCCCCCCCAGCGCTCACACCCACCTTCCTGTCCCCTCCCCTCCTGTCCCTGCCCGGGCTGTGTCCCCTTTGTGGTCACCCCTCATGTCCCCATCTCTGCTGCGTCCCTGGGACTTCACCCCTCGTGTCCCCAACTCTGCTGCGTCCCTGGGACTTCACCCCTCGTGTCCCCAACTCTGCTGCGTCCCTGGGACTTCACCCCTCGTGTCCCCATCTCTGCTGCGTCCCTGTGACTTCACCCCTCGTGTCCCCAACTCTGCTGCATCCCTGTGACTTCACCCCTCGTGTCCCCATCTCTGCTGCGTCCCTGTGACTTCACCCCTCGTGTCCCCATCCGTGTTGCATCCCCCCTGCGTTCACCCTGCTGTGTCCCCATCTGTCCCCCCGCGCTCACCCCTCGTGTCCCTGCAGTCCCTGAAGCGGATCAAGCGCTCCGACCGCCGTGGGGCTGAGTCGGTGACGGAGGAGAAGTTCACCATCCTCTTTGAGTCCCAGTTCAGCGTTGGTGGTAACGAGCTGGTCTTCCAAGTGAAGGTAAAGCCACCAGCCACGTCCCCTCTGCAGGGCCAGGGTGAGCCACGGGCACCATCCCTATGGGTGTAGGGCCACGGGGTGCCCGTGCAGGCAATGGGGTGCCCATGGGTGATGCTCCCTCAGTGCCCCACAACCCATCCTGGTCTCCTTCCTCCTGGCAGACACTGTCCCTGCCTGTGGTGGTCATCGTGCACGGGAGCCAGGACAATAACGCCACGGCCACCGTGCTCTGGGACAATGCCTTTGCCGAGCCTGTGAGTGCCATTGCTGGGGTGGGGAGGAGGAGAGGCCCCTGGGGGGCTGTGGGACCTGGACTTGGTCTCCTGGTGGGGAGAGATGATGGGCAGAGCTTGGCACTGACCCTGCTCCGTGTCCCCCCACAGGGCCGTGTCCCCTTTGCCGTGCCCGACAAGGTGCAGTGGCCACAGCTCTGCGAGGCGCTCAACATGAAGTTCAAGGCGGAGGTGCAGAGCAGCCGTGGGCTGACCAAGGAGAACTTGGTGTTCCTGGCACAGAAGCTCTTCAACAGCACCAGCTCCCACCTGGAGGACTACAGCAGCACCACCGTGTCCTGGTCCCAGTTCAACCGGGTGAGCAGGACGGGTTCTCTCTGCTGGGAGAGCTGCACAGCCCCGGGGTCCCACTGTGCTGTGCCCTCTGGGGGGGCTGGGTGAGGGACTTCCATCCCCAGGAGCTGTTTCTTGCTGGAGGGATGCAAAAACGAGACAGCTGTGGGGCTGGAATAGGGTGGGAGGTGTCACCCTCCTCCCTTGGAGGGACACAGGGTGCTGTAGGTCCCACAGATGGATGTCTGTGTCCTTGGGGGGGGCATTGCTGGTGCTCCCAGAATCACAGAATCTTCTAGGTTGGAAGGGACCTTAATGATCATCTTGTCCCACCTGGTTGGGCAGTGTTGGTGGCCATCCCTTGGTCCAGGTCCCCAAGTCTCTGTGCTGTGCCCAGCGCTCGTGCTGTTTAACAGCAGGAATGGGGGGGGCTGGAGCCAGGAATGCTCATTTTTGGGGGATTTCAACAGGAAAACCTGCCGGGGAGGAATTACACTTTCTGGCAGTGGTTTGACGGGGTCATGGAGGTGCTGAAGAAGCATCTAAAGCCGCACTGGAACGACGGGTAAGAGCCGCCCTGCCCCACGCCACCCGGCCCCGAGCCCCCAGCCCTGACCCCCGCCCCCCCCCCCTGCCTAGGGCCATCCTGGGCTTCGTCAACAAGCAGCAGGCGCACGACCTGCTCATCAACAAGCCCGATGGGACCTTCCTCCTGCGCTTCAGCGACTCGGAGATCGGCGGCATCACCATCGCGTGGAAGTTTGACTCCTGTGAGTGTGTCCCGGGAGCAC